ACTTTTTGTCCAGCCCCCCCCCCCCCCCCCGGCTTGAAGCTTGAACTGCAAGCTCCCCCAACAAGAAGGGTTCCCAGCCTCCAGGTGGGGCCTGGAGATCTCCTGGGATTACAACTGATCAAGACAAGACTATAGAGATCAGTTCACCTGGAGAAAGTGGGTGCTTTGGAGGGTGGACTCTATCGACACATGAAGCTGCCTTATACTGAATCAGACCCTTGGTCCATCAAGGTTAGTATGGGCCAGGGCCTTTTCAGTAGTGGCTCCATGCTGGTGGAATGAGCTCCCGGAAGACATCAGGGCCCTGTGGGACCTTTTACAGTTCTGCAGGGCCTGCAAAACGGAGCTCTTCCACCAGGCCTTTGATTAGGAGCCGCTACCAATAACATCTGAACTGTGGTAAGGTCCTCTATGTCATCGCCAACAGCCTGTGATACACTGGATACTGACTCCCATACTTCCTTGCAGTGGTCATTTCCTGCAGGAGCGCACAGGATCGGAGCTCCAGCAGTTCGGGCAGTAAAGAGCCCAGGGGGCGGGAACATGCAACAAGCCCCGCCCCTGCTCCCAGCAGCCCTCAGAGCAAGAAGCAGCCAGTGCAGAGCCCCCCCTGGCCCCCCTGTTCAAAACAGTCCAGTGGCACCTTTAAGACCAAGTTTTATTCAGGTACAAGCTCTCCCTCCTCTGCGAGGACAGATCTGCACGTCCCCCCCCCCAATAGCTAGCAATCCAAAACAGTCCAGTGGAGCCTGAGCGGTGGGTGTTTCCTTCTGACACACTCCTGGTGATGTCAGGGGGTGTGGTGTATGCAAATAAGTTAAGCTAATGAGTTCCTGCACCTCTTTTACTACGAAATGACCCCTGCTACCTTGTCACCATCTCACCATGGTCTATTGGGATCGCTATGTAATGTAATGTTATACCACCAGCAGCACTTTAATTGTTACGTACTGAGTTTTATGATGTTTCTTATTTGTGTTTTAATGTATTTTAACTTTTTAATGCAAGTCGCCCTGAGGGAGGGAGGGAGGGAGGGTGGGATTCAAAACCAACTTAAACAAATAAATAAAAACTGTCTACTCAGACTGGCAGCAGCTCTCCAGGGTCTCAAGCATAGGTCTTTCACATCACCTATTACCTGGTCCTTTTAACTGGAGATGCCTGGGATTGAACCTGGGACCTTCTGTGTATAAAGCAGAGGCTCTTCCACTGAGCCACGCCCCCTCCCCAAAAGTAGCATTGTAGCACGCTGTGTTCCCTCCCCAAGCTCCGCCCTCATCAGGCTCCACCACCCCCATATCTCCAGGTATTTCCCAACCCAGAGCAGGCAACCCCACCCACAAGGCATGGACATGCTACAAGTAGCATCAAAGCCATATACCTACTTCTTCTATTCTTGGTTCCAATCTCTTCTTTATGGCCCTGCAGAGCTTCTCTAGCTTTGCTTTCTTCTTTTCCAGCGTGGCTTTTTCCTCTTCAGTTTCTGGCAGCTCTAGACCTACTCTAGCTACAGAAGAGTAGGCTTTGCCCTCAAAGGTTTTCAGCTGCTGAATGCAATACTCGTCCATGGGCTCCGTCATGTAGATGACCTCCAAGCCACTCTTCAAGAGGCGCTCTACTAAAACAGAGTTCACTATCTGCTCAAGGCTTGCACCTGCCGGAGAGTGACATTTAGAGACTCTTTAAGGAGAGGCCTTAAACTCTTCAGCATTTCTTGTTAAAGCTACTGTTATTGCATGCACGCACACAGTCCTCTACGCCAGAGGTGTCGAACTCGTTTGTTACAAGGGCCGGATCTGACAGAAATGTCACTCTGTCAGGCCAGGCCATGTGTGCCAGAAAATGTAATGCCAGGTAACACCGATATAAACAGTATAAAGGACAGCAGATGGTAAGCTCCGAGTTGGTGTATCCGCACTGCAGGCAATGTTCCCTCTAAATTGTGGAGTCTTGTGAGCAAAGATTCTACTTTGTGAGTTACTTTGTGAGTGAGCGATTTGGCTGCTGCATAAATTAGTTTGCTCTGGAGCCATCCTTCCTGAGCTAAGACAGAAATGTGTGAGCCGGAGGCTAAGAAAACTATGTGCTAGCTCACAAAAACTCAGCTCTCTCTAACTCTCATCTATATAGATATATATCACCACACAGGCTAGTCTCTTTGTTTTATTCACACAGAATAGGATCAACTCTCTTAGTCACACAGACTAAACTGCTGGTCTTATTCACACAGAAGTAAACTCAGAATTCCATATGTTCTCTCTTCAAGCTTCACACACAGAATCCTTCATAACTGAGTCACACAGACTCTCTTCAAAACTCTTACTTGTCTCTCTAATACCACAGAATCCTCAAACACACGCACAGCATCCTCTCAGACACCCCTCCTCCCACACTCTCAGTCATCAGCCAATCAAAATACACTTGTCTCCTTCTATCACTCTCCTTATAGTACTGCATTCAAACTAAACATTTAAAGGAACACACACCCCGAAACATGGAATCATTACAGGGAGGGCCCTTTCTTCAAACACGTGCAGGAAGGGAAAGTTCCCCATGAAGATCAGTGTTAGCAGGTGCAACCTTTCACATAAAAACATGAAACTGCCTGTGAATAAGACCCTTGGATCCATCAAAGTCAGTATTGTCTACTCAGACTGGCAGTGGCTCTCCAGGGTCTCGGGCAGAGGTCTTTCACATAACCGATGGCCAGATCTCTTAACTGGAGCTACCAAGGACTGAATCCGCGACATTCTGCATGCCAAGCAGATGCTCTACCACTGAGCCACAGCCCCTCCCCAACTTTTCCATGTTGGTTGACAAGCCTGTACTTGCCTGCTTCTCTTCTCCAGATGCAGCTTGCCATGCAAGGGAGAAAGAAAAGCATATTTGCATTTCTTCTGCATCCCTGTTAGAGGCAGAAGAGGCCTTCCTTCTGCATCGGATCACCCTAAGGTCATGTTCACATGAACTCCAAGGACTAACATCAAGGAGGAGGAGATTGGATTTATACCCCGCCCTTCACTCGGAGTCTCAGAGCGGCTTACAAACTCCTTTCCCTTCCCCTCCCCACAACAGACACCCTGTGAGGTAGGCAGGGCTGAGAGAACTCTTTTCAGAACTGTCCTTGAGAGAACAGCTCTCACAGAACTATGACTTGCCCAAGGTCATCCAGCAGCTGCAAGTGGAGGAGTGGGGAATCAAACCTGGTTCTCCCAGATTAGAGTCCACGCACTTAACCACAAGAGAACCCATATTTCCCACAAGATAAAAGAGAGAAGAGTAGCATGAAACTCCAAGTTGGAACAGGTTGCTGAGTTGGTCCATGTCAAAATCTCAAAGGCACAACACTACCCACTAAACAGTGTACAAGCTTCTAAGTTACTTAGAACTCTTCAGACTGGAATATTAACAGGGACATGGGGAGGAAAAAGTTGCAGGCAGCAACAAATTCTTCTTCCTCAGCATCCTGGGCAGAATGTTTTTGCAGACCTCAATATGCACAGGATGTGACAAGCATCAGGTTGCACTAGGAAGGGAAGCCAACTAAGTTGAAAACCAAGTTGAGAACCAGTACCTAATATTTGATTAAACAAGTTTGGCATTCCCTTCTAATGGCTTAAAGACTTGGGGGTTTTCAAATATTATGGGTTAACAGTAGACAATGTTCACAACTGCATGATCACAAACTACAGTTAAGAACTGCATTTCACTTGCACCCAATGGCATCTCATTGTGATTCTGCTGTTTGCCGCTTTCCCTTACTTTATCATTTCATGTGTAAATGTGTTTTTTTAGCCAGGCCCCAGTGTATGAATTGGACGAGTGGACGTCACAAATCCACAGAAGCTCATGCCACAATAAAAGACTGGTAGTCTTTAAATTGCTACAAGGCTCTTGCTTTCCCCTCCACAACACAGTAACACAGCTGCTCCTCTAGAATTAAGATCAGAAAGTGTTAAAGAAAGGTTACTTGGCAAAGTTGTCAGTGCCTAGGAGGAAGTGCTACCGTCCCATTTCATCAGATTGGACTTGCTCCCAAACACACACTTTGCTTCTCACTGCATGGGAGAAACATGGATCTAGCCATATAAATACGGCGCAGAACTAGCACTATTAAGGCTGCTTCCAAGGGACTATGGTGTGACAATCTCTTCACAGTGAGAAATGATCCATACACTAGAATTACAGATTGCCCAAAATATCCCTGATAAGGAGGTTTCCAAAAAAGAGCTTTTTACAATGGTATTAGCCAGCTAGTCCGACAAACTGAAAGCAGGATATTTAAAGGAAAGACATTCTGAGGAAGTGAAAGCTTACCAGCAAGGTAGTATATTAATGTCTGGTTCTCCTTCATCCGTGCACAGTAATCTTTCAGGGACACCATCTCACCCATGGAAGCAGAAGTGTAGTATCTCAACAACTCTGATAGTTTCTTGTGATTCTGGGTATCATCGTGTATTCCAAACTGAAAGACAAGGGCAGTTACATTCAGGTGGGGCAGCCACGTTGGTCTGAAGCAATAGAACAACGTTTGAGTCCAGTGGCACCTTGAAGACCAACAAAGTTTAATACTTTCGTATGCATGCACTGATGATTAAGCGTGCATGCACATGAAAGCTTACACCCAGAATTAAACTTTGTTGGTCTTAAAGGTGCCACAGGAATAACATTTTGCTCCAAGGGCAGTTACAGTTTCATTTTCATACTTCTGAACAGACAACAGGTATTTGCCTGAGCGAGAGAGAGAGTGGTTTGTGCTGTTCCCTACAGGCCAGGATTGAGATTAGTTGATACCAGGGCCGGCTCACTCACTAGGCGAACTAGGCGATCGCCTAGAGCGGGCTGGCCCTTAGGGGTGCCAAACTGCACCCGGCCCCGTACTCTGGGAGTTTCTTGATTATTTGTGTTTTTTATTCTTCCTAAAATGCATTTATTTTTGAAAATTGGTGGGCGCACGGGGGGGGGGGCATAAGGGATCCTCGCCTAGGGTGCAAAATAAGCTGGAGCCGGCCCTGGTTGATACAATGGCCAAGTTATGGTTTAGCCATAGGGTTGCTGACCTCGGGGGGGGGGAACTGAAGATCTCCCGCTTTTACAATTCATCTCCAGACAACAGAGATCAGTTCCGCTGGAGAACCTGGCTGCTTTGGAGGACAGACTCAATGACACTGTACCCTGCTGAGGTCCCTCCCCAAACCCCGCCTCCCCCACACTCCACCCTCAAAATCTCCAGGGTATTTCCCAATCCAGAGCTGGCAACCCTGAGCCAGCCTCGGCCGGGAGGGCAGGGTAAAAAATTGATAAATCAAATCAAATTTAGTTGGCGTGTTCAGATCATGCTATTGTCATCTGGCCGGAGGTCCAAGCAGGAGGGCCAAGCAAAGGCTGGATAGCTATCCATCTGGAATACTCTAGTTTTGGATTCCTTGCAGTGAACAAGGGATTGAACTACATAGCTTATAAGGCCTCTTTAGCTAAATGACAGGGAGACTGAAGAACATCTACCTTTACGTTTCTGGAAAACTGCTCATAGAAAATCATGTACTTTTCTTTAGCTTATAAGGCCTCTTTAGCTAAATGACAGGGAGACTGGAGAACATCTACCTTTACGTTCCTGGAAAACTGCTCATAGAAAACCATGTACTTTTCTTTGTCCTCTGCCAGCTCAGCAAAGAGCTCCAGGCATTTCTTCACCAAGTGTTTCCTGATTGCTTTAAAAATTCTGGTCTGCTGTAGCCTTTCCCGGGAGATATTGAGAGGCAGGTCTTCTGAATCCACCACGCCCTGTATGAAGCCTACAAGAAACCAGGATAAAGATACTACAGTGTTTGATGGCCTGCTACAGAAAACACTCCTGGATTCCAATTATAGTTAGTACCCTCTGCAAGCAACTGAACAGTATGGTTCTGGGCATACAGCTTTGTAGAAGCATGAGGAATGGTCCATCCACCTGTTCCATTCATAGTCTCAAGCTTTATATAGACCACAGAATTGGAAGCTGTGTATACAGCCATCAGTGTTCAAGGCACACCTTATTGGGACACACTATAGCACTAGACCGCATAATAAACCTAGAACGCATAATAAAAAGTAGAGACAACAAAACTCTGTATGGTATTCCCAGTAGTAATGTATGGCTGTGAGAGTTGGACCATAAGGAAGGCTGAGCGCCGAAGAATAGATGCTTTTGAACTATGGTGCTGGAGAAGACTCTTGAGAGTCCCTTGGACTGCAAGGAGATCAAATCAGTCAATCCTAAAAGAAACCAACCCTGACTGTTCCCTGGAAGGCCAGACACTGAAGCTGAAGCTCAAATACTTTGGCCACCAAATGAGAAGAGAGCACCCACTGGAGAAGACCCTGATGCTGGGAAAGACTGAAGGTCACAGAAAAAGGGGACAGCAAAGGATGAGATGGTTAGACAGTGTTATCGATGCAGCAAACATGAAATTGAGCAAACTCCAGAGGACGGCGGAAGACAGGAGGGCCTGGCGTGATGTGGTCCATGGGATCGGAAAGAGTCAGGCTCAACTGTGCGACTGAACAACAACATAGCACTAGATCTTAAAAGTTATACCTAGCTCTTTGCTGTATGTCTTGTCCTTCTGTGGGTTTATACATGGCAAGATTAAGGCGACACCAACAAAATTTGGGGGTATACTCTTTCAATAGTCAAATCTCCCTCCATCAGGTGACAAAAGAAACTTTGGACGCTTGAAAGTTTATGCCTCCAAAATCTTGTTGGTCTCTAACATGCTATTGGACTCAAATCTAGCTAATTAATAATTATCATATGACATTGTGTGTAGAATAGCCAAGAGATCCTGTGACAGTCTGGCAGCTGCAAGTTCTAGCTCTTAGCATTATGCTAGTTGCAAGCTAGGCTTATTTTTAGGGGCTGAGAGCTCTGAAAGAACTGTGACAGGCCCAAAGTCACCCAACTGGCTGTTTCGTGCACTGGTTAAGAGCGTGGACTCTAATGTGGGAGAACCGGGTTTGATTCCCCACTCCTCCACATGTAAGCCACTCTGAGTCTCCTTTGGGTAGTGAAGGGTGGGGTATAAATCCGATCTCCTTCTTCATGTGAAGAAGTGGAGAATTAAACCCGGTTCTCCAGATTAGAGTCCGCCACTCTTAACCACTACACCAAACTGTTCTAGCTGTTCTACTGCAGACCAACATGACTATCCTCTGAAACTAGGTGTATACACAGTAATTACAGATGCCTATTGGCTAGTGCCCATTACATCACTGGTGGTGAATAGATACATATTTCTACTTCTTTCAAACTGAACCGTCTGGGAAAGTATTGTCTTTCCATATACCAGGTCTGGGGAGAAGTGCTGGAAGTTGCGGAGGGGGGTTTAAGTATTTTCATTGTTCTGAAAGAGGAATATTTTTACAGCACAATTTTAAGATACTATCACAGCCAATACATGTTCTACAAATCAGACCAGTAATGATAGCACTATGCTATGTGTCACTGACCAAACCTTCAAATATTGTATAGCGTTTAGGAAAGCATTTTGGCCATCTGCCAGCCCTATTGCTCCCTCAGTTCAAAGCAGGCTCAAAGTTTGTACAGCAGTCTCCAACTCCTTTCCAGACACGCCTCATTCCTTCTGCATCAAGCAGAATAAGGAGAGGAATACTTGAACACACACCCAGACATGTTAGAAGCTGAGAAGATCATTCCAGGTCACATAGACCTTTCAGTTTTGGTAGTCTATGAAGTTCAGCAATGAAGCCCAATTAGAAGCTATATGGATCTTTCAGCAGAGTGGTAGAAGCCTCTTTACCAGCATAGCATAGTGACTTGTGTCAGACAAGAGTCTTGGAGACCCTTGGACTGGTCTCATACACTCAACCAGGAATGTGAAAGAAAATAGAGAAACGTTTCATTTATACCTCACTTATCACAACAATTGGAACCCAATGTAGGTTACAAATGGGAAGAAAAATAGAGTGTAAATAAAGTATTAGTATGGACAGGGCTTTTTTTGTAGAAAAAGCCCAGCAGGAACTCATTAGCATAATAGGCCACACCCAACAGCAGAAACTCATTAGCCTATTAGGCCACACCCCTGACAGTACAGCTCATTAGCCTATTAGGCCACACCCCGTGCTTTCCCTTGACTTGCCTGGGCGTCCCAGGCTGCAGGGAGCCCGGGCAAGCCGGCCCTTAGACAGGCCGGGGAAGGCATGGAGAGGCATTTAAATGCCTTCCCGGTCCTTTCAGGGGGGCCCTGGCCCACCCGTCTTGGAGTCGCCGGGGGGGGG